TGTCTTATAATTTTTCTGTATCTGTTGAGATGATCATACCTTTTTTCAGTCCACTAATGTGGTGAATTAATTACATTGACTTATTGTCAAATGTTAAATCATCCCTGCATTCTTGGAATCAGCTCTACTTGATTATGATGTTATTCTTTTAATATATTGTTAGATTTGATTAGCTAAAATTTTAAGAATTTTTACATCCATGTTGATTAGCAGTATTTATCTGTTCTTTTCTTTCCTTTATAATGTTTTTGTATGGTTTTGGTAATCAGACAAATGCTGGCCTTAATCGAAAGAGTTGGAAAGTATTGCCTTTGCTTCAATTTTGTGGAAGAGTTTGGGTAGCATTTATATTTCCTTCATCCTTAAATGTCGGTAGAATTCCCCAGTGAAACCATCTGGGCTTAGAATTTATTCTGTGGGAAAGTTTTAAACTATAGTTTAACTTCCTTACCAGATACTGGGCTAGTCAGGTAGTCTGTTTCTTTTTGAGTAAGGTTTGGCAGCCGGTATCTTTCAAGGAATTTGTCCATTAATGTAAGTTCTTAAATTTGTTGCCATAAAGTTTTTATAATATTCTCTTATTACTCTCTTAATATCTATAGAATCTGTACTTGCTGTTACTTCTCTCATCTCTGATGTTGGTAATTTGTGTCTTTTTTTTTGTCTTCAGTGTGGCTTCAAGATTTATCAATTTGAACCTTTGCAAAGGACCAGCTTTTGGTTTCATTGTTTTTTTCTATTGGTTTTCTATTCGTTGATTTCTACTCTGATCTTTATAATTTCCTTTCTCTTGCTTATTTTGGTTATCATTTGCTCTTTTTGTTTGTTTGTTTATTTTTGGAGCCAAGGTCTCACTCTGTTGGTGAGTGCAGTGGTGCTGACATAGCTCACTGTAATCATGGGCTCAAGTGATCCTCCTGCCTCAGCCACCCAAGTAGCTGGAGGTACAGGTGCACACCACCACGCCTGGGTAATTTTTCCATTTTTTGTAGAGATGGGGTCTTGCTATTTTGCCCACATACTCTCTTATAATCCTTTTCCTTTTCTTTTTTTTTTTTTTAGAGTGTCACTTTGTCACCCAGGCTGGAGTGCAGTGACCCAGTCATACTTACTGCAGCCTTGAACTCCTGAGCTCAAGTGATCCCCCCACCTCAGCCTTCCAAGTAGCTAGGCATGCACCACCATGTCTGGCTAGTTTTTAAAATTTTTTGTGGGGACAGGGTCTTGCTATGTTGCCCAGGCTGGTCTTGAACTCCTGGCATCAAGGGCTTCTCCTGACTTGGCCTCCCAAAGTGCTGGGATTACTGGCGTGAGCCACCACACCCAGCCACTTTTTCTTTCTTCCTTCTCTTCCTTGCCTTTCTTTCTCCTCTCTTTCTTCTTTCCCTCTTTTTTTTTTTTTTTTTGAGATAGAGTCTCACTCTGTTGCTGGGGCTAGAGTGCAGTGTGGCATTGTATTAACTCACTGCAACTTCATACTCCTGGACCCAAGCAGTCCCCCTGCCTCAGCCTCCCAAGTACTTGGGACTATAGGTGTATACCACCACGCCCAGCTAATTTATCTTGTTTTTTTGTAGAGATGGAGTCTCGCTATGTTACCCAGGCTGGACTTGAACTCCTGGGCTCAGGCGATCCTCCTGCCTCAGCTTTTTAAGTAGCTAGGATACAGGCAAATGCCACTGCACCCAGCTTTTGGTTGCTTTTAGGTATTTTCTCTTTTTCAGTATTTTTTAAGGAATTTCATTTTGATATGCCTTTGTGTAGTTTTCTTGTGCTTAGGTTTTGTGTAGTTCTTTGTGCTTGGGGTTTGCTGTGTTTCTTGAAGCGGTGGGTTTATAGTTTTCATTAAATTTGGAAAATTTGCACCATTTCTTTAAATTTTTTTTCTTTCCTTTTGCAGACTTCAATAACACATATGTTGTACAACTCACTGATGTTCCATTAAAATTTTTTTAGTCCTTTTCTATTTTAGTTTGAATAGTTTCTATTGTTATGTTTTCAAATTCACTAATCTTTTCTTTAATGTCTAATCTGTTTTTAATCCTATTCACTGTATTTTTCATCTCAAATATTATAGTTGTCATTTCTAGACATTTGATTTGGTTCTCTTTTTTTATCTTTTATGCCCACATTTGACATTTTAGTCATCTAGTTTTTTGAATATGTGAAATATATTTAATTATGAATTATGTATTGAATGATGTATTAATAGTATTTGAATTATGTATTATATATTGAATTATGTTCAGTTGTAACTTCTAACATCTTTGAGTGTTAATTCAGTTAGTGTCATTTATGGGTTTGTCTGAATTGATTTTTCTCCCTTATCATGGGTCCTATTTTCCTGCTTTTCTGAATGCTACTAATTTTTGATTGGATGCTAGCTATTATAAATTTTACCTTGTAGAATGATGAATATTTTTGTATTCCTATAAATACTCTTGAGCTTTGCTTTTTGACATGGTTAAATTACTTAGAAATAGTTTGATCCCTTTGGATCTTGTTTTAATTTCTGTTAGGCAGGACTAGAGCAGTGTTTAAATAATTTTGCCCTACTACAGACACAAAACTTTTCTGAGTACTCTGCCTAATGCTATTTAATGCTATTTAATGAGAAGTTTTCCATTCTGGCTCTGTGAGACAGAAACTATTCCTGGCCTTATATGAGCTTCAGGGATTACCCCCTTAATCTTTTTGGCTGGTTCTTTTTCAGGCTTCAGGTAGTTTCCTTACCCACATGTGCTAATCAATACACAGATGAAGACTTGAGGGTTTACTCTCTGCAGATTTTAGTTTTTTAAAAATAAAAAGTAGGAGGTGGGTTTTTATGAATACTGTTTGAGATTTTTAAAAATGGAAACGTACCTTAGGCTTTACCAGTTAAATGAATTTTATTTCCTATGCTTTACCATATGACTATAATTGCAGTTGAAGTCTTTTCTAATAGAATCACTCTTCTGATTTCTCTCAATTCATCACAGTTTACCAATTTTATTTCTGATTCCTATTTAAACTTATGTAAGATATAGTCCTTCTCCAAAAAATACAAATCATTCGGGTTTAATTGTAATTCTGTACTTTAAAATTTTTTCCACTTTTTGGGTCCATACAATGATCTGGATTTGCTACATGGATTTTTAAAGCAAAAAATTCCCTCCAAAACACAAAAATCCAGTTATAGTATATCTAGATTCAGTTATAATAGTCTAGCAAATAACTTCTCACATTAATTTTATACTTTAATAAGATCTTAACCATAATTTTTTGAAAGTGCCAGTACTTTTGTCCTATAAATAGTGTTTGGAAATCTTGATTACTTTGAAAACATTGCAAACTTACGTATATATCCAAAAGAATTGAAAACTGGTACTCAATCAAGTATATTACATGCAAGTTCATAGAAGCACTATTCAGAAAATAGCCAAAAAGTGGAAATAGTCCAAATGTCCCTCAACAGATGAATGGATAAACAAATTGTGGTATATACATATAATGGAATATTTTCTTCAGTCATTAAAAGGAATGGAGTATCTGATACATTTTTAGATGATCTTTGAAAACATTATGCTAAGTGAAAGAAGCCAGACATAAAAATCAAAGGTCACAGCCAGTTGTGGTGGGTCACTCCTGTAATCCTAGCACTCTGGGAGGCCGAGGCAGGAAGATTGCTTGAGGCCAGGACACCAGCCTAAGCAAGAGTAAGACCCTGTCCCTAATAGAAAATTAGGAAATAGAAAAATTAGCTGGGTATGGTGGCACATGCTGTAGGTCTGAGCTACTCGGGAGGCTGAGGCAGGAGGATCACTTGAACCCAGGAGTTAGAGGTTGCAGTGAGTGGTTATGATGCCATTGCACTCCAGCCTGGGTGACAGAGCAAGACTCTGTCTCAAAAAAAATTAAAAAAAAAAAAAAAGGTCACAGATTTTATGATTTCATTTATGTAAAATATCCAGAATAGTTAAATCCATAGAGACAGAGCCCAGATTGGTGGTTGCCAGCAGGTGTGGGGAGGGCATAGTGGGGAGAAACTGCTTAATGAATAAGGGATTTTACTTTGGAGTTGTAGAAATATGTTGAAACCAGAGGGAATTGGTTGAACAATGTTATGAATGTACTAAATGCCACTGACTTGTTCACTTTAAAGTAGTTAATTTTCTCATAGATTTCTTCAATAAATTATTACTTTAAAAAAGCTACGAAGGTGGTTTATTTAAAAATTGATTTAATATTATATATGATGTTAGCATGTTCTAAATGGGAAATAAGTTAGGTTCCAGGTGTTCTTAACAAATACTGGTATATTAATAAAATGTTAATAAACTTAATTCTAAAGGGATATTTTTCATCCTTATTTATAGATGAAAACTTCGAATCAAGTGAAACCTAAGAACAGCCTATTTGTGAAAGTACTTAAAACAAAGGCACTCAGTTACCTACCTTGTTTTAAATGTTTGTCCTAATTAGATGAAATGTTTTAGCTTATTTCTTCTTCTAGTTCATAGTCTGTATTACCAACTGAAAAATAATTTATTACTGAAAAATACAAAAGCATGAAATAATTAAAAATCAAACATTCATTACTTATATTTGTGCCACCATTGGCTGAGGTTAGAATGTTGATCAGAACTTAAAAGTTGCTTACTACGCACATTTTAAAAATATGTATTTACTTAAAATTATATATTTTTTACAAACCTGTAGTCTCAGTGCCTCTTCTAGAATCTAGGATTATAGTTAGCAATTATTGGCAGCCATGCTTAATTATTACATTTGGAAGTATATGTGATATTTCTGGGTAGAAATGACCATATGGAATTATTTTTCTAAATTTACATAATTTAGAAGTGTCAGTATACTTTTCAGTATATTTACCATATTCAGTATGTTTTAATAGGTAATTGTGTTAGGCAGTTTCCAAGCTAGAATTTTTCTAATAGTTTTAACAATCAGATATCAGATGCCAATATTAAGCTACTAAATTACTGATTTTTCTTTTTTAGAATTCAGCCATATAATTAAAATGACAACCTCCTGGAGTGATCGGTTACAGAATGCAGCAGATATGCCTGCTAACATGGATAAGCATGCTTTGAAAAAGTACCGTCGAGAAGCCTATCATCGGTAAGTATTTTGTATATTTAATCCTCAAAACAGCTCTGTAAAGTGTACACTTATTATTTTCATTTTACAGGAGATGAAATTAATGTATGGAGAAATTAGATAATTTACCCCAGATTACATAGCTAGTTTGTGATTTATAAAAGTCCTTAAGAGAAGTCTTTAGCTGCTAGAAAATTGCACCTAAGTTAATAAAAATGAAATTCTGAATTGGCATTTACTCGCAAACTGATTATAACTTTCAAACAGTTTTTAAAAATTGTATCTACTGGCTACTGTGTGTTAGATTGAATGTGGATAACTCTGGGCATTAGCACAGTTTTCTTGTTTAGACTAATACTTTGTTTAAGTCATTTTTTCCTTAAACGGTTAAATTGTATTTTCTTTTTACTTACCACTTTTTACACATTCAGTTAAATGCCTGCTTCTACCCAAATCTTAAGTAGCTAAGATACTTGGAAGTAGGTAATGTGTTTAGAAATCATTAATTTTAGGCAGAAATTAGAAGTTTACATTTTCAGTGAATTCGTAGGATAGTAAGATCTGGGCCCTACAAGAACCATCTCTACTTCCCACCCCAGGAAAGCCAGAATAAGTACAGATGCTGGCATATTGGCAGTGCTAAAATGTTGCATGGGAACTTCAGAAAGTCTAAAACCACTCATAATCACTTAGCTGTTTCTGAGCTGGAGGAAAGATGAAATGAATATCACTTTTAAAGTCTTACTGGAAAAATGGTTAAAACTGGTTTATGTAGGTATGTTTTTGTAAGCAGACAAAATAATAGTTTTGAGCCCACTGTTCTCTGTGTAGGAAAGCTAGGTCAGAATTAGGTAACATTTTACTGTTTCAGTAAGTAATAGTATTTTGAAGAAAATAGTGACTTGGTATTGAGTGTTTGAAAAGTTAATTATTCTATCAATAGTTGGTTTTCAAAGTAGGCTGGTGTTATTTGCCTCATGGTAGGTCACTGGCGTTTCTAGGTATTAGGATGCTATTATTCATTAAACCCTGAAAAAGTGAAAACATTTCAGGTTCCTATCAAGACTCAAAATCAATCACTGAGTACTAATGATCCTCTTCTGTGTGTGAGACTTGTTGCTAGATATGGCATGTTAAAATGTAAAATGGAGTGTTTTGTGCGTCTATGTAAATAAAACAACATACACATTTGGAAGAGATTACGTTATGTTGAGAGGTATTCTATACTTTCTGTTCAATTATTTGCTTAGTCTTTATGCTATCAAGTATACATTTGGTTAGGATGTAACATTTTTAGCAGTGGAAACAAGGGCTAGAATTATGTAACAAAGGAGAGATCACCTCGTAAACATCCTAATTGTATTTAATACATGTCATAGCCTGAATGTACTTCTGACTCATTTGGAATGGTATTTCCTGAAGATTTTAGTTAGGCTCTGCACCCTACAACAGTTACATAGTAAATGCAATCTGAAACAATAGAAGCAAAAAAAGCATCATCAAGGGTTTGAATTTTTAGATCATTGAGAAAAAAATTTTAATATAGAAAAATTGGGGCCGGGCGTGGTGGCTCACGCCTGTAATCTTAGCACTCTGGGAAGCCGAGGCGGGAGGATTGCTTGAGCTCAGGAGTTCAAGACCAGCCTGAGCAAGAGCAAGACCCCGTCTCTACTAAAAATAGAAAGAAATTAGCCAGACAACTAAAAGTGGAAAAAATTAGCCAGGCATGTTGGCGCAGACCTATAGTCCCAGCTACTTGGGAGGCTGAGGCAGGAGGATTGCTTGAGCCCGGAAGTTTGAGGTTGCTGTGAGCGAGGCTGATGCCATGGCACTCTAGCCCGGGCGAAAGAGTGAGACTCTGTCTAAGAAAAAAAAGGAAAGATTGTGTTCTTGTACTCTTGCAAGTATTTGCTTTAAAGAAATTATGTATCCTTTTTTATTAACACATTGACAAAAATGTATATATTTATGTTATATAACATGATGTTTTAAAATATGTATGTATTGTTAAATGGCTAGATCAAGCTAATTAACATGCATTACCTCACATACTTATTTTTTTGTGATAACACTTAAAATCTACTCTCCTAGCAGTTTTCAAGTATACAATACACTACTGTTAACTACAATCATGTTGTATAATACATCTCTTGAACTTATTCCTCCTGTCTAACAGTGTTTGCTTTTGTTAATTAAAAATGTTAAATAGAAACCATTTCAAAGAAATTTAATTTTCTAGTTAGGTCAATTTGTAAAATAGTCTGTTTCCAGAGCTTTTTATTAAAGACATTTATTTGAGTAAGTAATTTATTATTGGTTAAGTTAAGCAGACTGTGCTGATTGTTATCACAAAGTATACATTGTATATAATGCTTTAGAATTTCTTTTTAGAAGAAGCTAAATATTCTTAGTTAAGTAAATAAACATCTAACTTCTAGCTTTTTTCTTGCTTAATACTGGTCTTCTGAATTTCAATATGGAAATGATGGTCATGTGTCATTATTTAAGAAACTGGCCTTTAGAATGTATGACTGTTCCTCCTCTATTTCCTTATTATCGTGGTTTACTTTTATGGGTTGAGGATAGTCATCAGACCAAACCTTTCATTGGAATGTTTTGCCATATGGTCAGAATGTAGGCTGAGCTGCTTAGATGTCATTGTGACCTGAAGGAGGCAGGTTAGAAAACTGTCTCTTATATAGTTCTTTGTTGAACACCTGGATTCTGATAGTGATCAGTACATATCAGAATTTGTATTTACCAAATCCAGGAATGGAACAATTAGATTTTTCGTCTGCTCTCCACATTGACTGTGCCCAGGATGCTGAAGTCAGGTATTTGGTTTTATCCTTTTGAAGTTCTGATGATTACAGTACAGCAAAATTTCTGTGACAACGAATTGACTTTTTTTTCTATGAACACAGCTTATGAATTCAGCCGTGGTTTTTATCATGTTGAACTAAAATTTGATAAGTAATTAGGCTTGTGAATTTTTGTTTTACCAGTCTTTTGCCTTATTTTAAAAGACATTGCAATTGCCTTACCTTTAAAGTTCTTTAAAGACCTGTGTATATTTATCTGAAATTTGTGTTTATCTGAAGTATTTTTAAAATTGCAACTTAGGCCTCCAAAGCCATACCAGTCTTTATTTAAACTGTCGAATAATGGTTTCTTCTCACATCAAAATAAATTTATTGTATGTGTTTAAGGAGTAAAAAGGAATTTGTGTACATATAAAAAATAATTTTGTAGTACCTATAGCTTGGCACACAAATAGATTTAGAAATGTTTATGATGACTTATTTTAAACTCAGACAAAAAGCAGGTATCAGATTATATGCAGACAGATATGGTCAGGTTGATAAATTTTAATTTCTTTCTCTTTTAACCACGTATGGATATCACATGAATGTAATTTAGCTTTTTAATTTTGTCATTAACCAAGCTGAGTAAACTGTCATTTTAGTATAAGTTCAAATATTCAAGTGAGTAAACTGTTAACATTTCAATAGCCATTTTATAAGTTGAAAATTAGGTGGAAAATATAGGTCCTCAGGAATTCTAAGGAGCCATGTTCCTTAAATAATATACAGATGGGATATATCTTGTCAGAATAAAAAGAGTGAGGTAGAGCATCAAAACTGTTAAAACTTTTTTTAGTATATGTTTCTAATTCTTTGGTTAAGGTTTCCCAATCCTAAGGAGTGACAAATGAGGATTCGGGAACTGGTAATATTGTTTTTAGCTTATTTATTTCCCCCCAAAACATTCTATGTATGGAATACTATTCAGCAGTAAAAAAAAAAATAAACTATTGATACATGCAACAACTTCAATAAATTTCAAGGAAGTTATGCTAAGTTAATAAAGCCAATCTGAAAAGATTGTGTAGTGTATGTTTCCATTTCTATAACATTTTTTTTTTTTTTTTTTTGAGACAGAGTCTTGCTCTGTCACCTGGGCTAGAGTGGTGTGGCATCAGCCTACCTCAAAGCAACCTCAAACTCCTCGGCTCAAGCTATCCTCCTCCCTCGGCCTCCTGAGTAGCTGGGACCACAGGTGCACGCACCATACCTGGCTAATTTTTTCTATTTTTAGTAGAGATGGGGTCTTGCTCTTGCCCAGGCTGGTCTCAAACTCCTGACCTCAAGCGATCCTCCCACCTTGGCCTCCCAGAGTGCTAGGATTACAGGCATGAGGCACTGCGCCTGGCCTCTATAAACATTCTTGAAATGACAATATTATGGAGATTGAGAACAGATTAGTGGTTGCCAGGGGTGGTTGGAGCAAAGACGTAAGTGCAGCTGTAAAATGGTAACACAAGGAATCCTTGTGATGGAACTGTTTTGTATCTTGACTCTAGTGGTGGTTATCAGTATACACACACACACACACACACACACACACACACACACAAACACACACACGAGTGCATGTAAAACTGGTGAAATCTGAATGAGGTTGTAAATCATGTAAATGTCGATTTCCTGTGCTGTGATAGTCCACTATATGTACACAAGATTTTCCTGTTGGGGGAAATTGGGTGAAGTGTACATGGAATTTCTGTATTGTTTCTTACTATTGCATGTGAATCTACAATTATTTTAAAATAAAATTTAATTTAAAAAATATTCAGGCTGGGCGCGGTGGCTCACGCCTGTAATCCTAGCACTCTGGGAGTCCAAGGCGGGTGGATTGTTTGAGCTCAGGAGTTCGAGACCAGCCTCAGCAAGAGCAAGATCCCGTCTCTACTAAATATAGAAAGAAATTAATCGGACAACTAAAAATATATAGAAAAAATTAGCCGGTCATGGTGGCGCATGCCTGTAGTCCCAGCTACTTGGGAGGCTGAGGCAGAAGGATCGCTTGAGCCCAGGAGTTTGAGGTTGCTGTGAGCTAGGCTGACGCCATGACACTCTATCCCGGGCAAAAGAGTGAGACTCTGTCTCAAAAAAAAAAAAAAATTCAGTGACATATCTTTTTTTTTTTTTTTTTTTCCCATCACAGGCATTCCTTGTCTA